TTCCCACAGACTGACTTTAAAAATTATACGGTTTTTATATCAAAAATTATAAAACCATGTGAAGAAACAAGGTATCATGACCAAGAGTGAGGAGAAACAATAAACAATTGAAGTGGGACTTCAAAGACATCAGATATGGGGACAATTAGACACAATACAGAATACAAACATGTAATACACTTACAAAATAGAAACAGATGTCCAAAACATGAGATTACAAAGACTTCTTGGACATTAAAAGCAATAACTGAAAACAAATTTAAAAAGGTAAACTGGACTTTACTGTGACTTTCTTTTCATCAGAAGACATCATTAACAAAGTAATGAAGCAAGAATAGGTTAGGAAAAGAATTTATAACACATATATCCAACACACAACATGTATCCAAGGTGCACAGAGAACTTGCACAAAGCAATTTAAAAAAAGTCAAACCACCCAACCTACAAATGGGCAAAAGACTTCAACAGGCATTTTTACAAACAAAGGCATTCAAATGGCCAACAGAGGGGCACCTGGGTGGCTCAGTCAGTTAAGCATCCGGCTTCAGCTCAGGTCACGATCTCGCGGTCCGTGAGTTCGAGCCCTGCGTCGGGCTCTGGGCTGATGGCTCAGAGCCTGGAGCCTGCTTCAGATTCTGTGTCTCCCTCTCTCTCTGCCCCTCCCCCATTCATGCTCTTTCTCTCTCTGTCTCAAAAATAAATAAACTTTAAAAAAAAAAAAAAGGCCAACAGAGACATAAAAAGGTGTATGAGTTTTCACTTCTCATCCAAGAAATTCAAATTAAAACCTCATTAATAGGGTGGCTCAGTCGGTTAAGCCTTGATTAAACCTTCCCACTCTTTCAGTGGGAAGTTGGTTAAGCCTTCCCACTCTTGATTTCAGCTCAGGTCATAATCTCACCCATCGTGGGACTGAACCCTGGCTCGGGCTCTGTGCTGGCAGCATGAACCTGCTTGGGATTCTCTCTCTGCCCCGCCCCTGCTGCGGCACACGTGTTTTCTCTTTTCTCTCAAAAGAAATAAACTTTAAAAAATAAAATAAAAAATAAATAAAATCTCATTAATATACCATGCCACCCCCACTAGAATGAAGACAGACAATGCTGGTAGGAAGGAGGAAAAACTGAAATTCTAATACATTGCCAACAGGATAATAAATTGCTTCTACTATGGGAAACTACTTAGCAGCATATATTGAAGCCACACAGATGCTACTCTAGGACCCAGAAATTCCACTGTTAGAAAAATAAATACAAATGTCCATCAATGGGCACAGACGCAATACTCATAAAAGGTTTATTTATAATCCCCAAATTATGGAAACAGCTCAAAAGTCATGTGCCGATGACTGGGAAGGGGCATCAGGGACTCTTACGGGGTGATGGAAATATTCTACCCTTTGATCTGGAGGGTGATTACATGGGCACGTAGACATGTACAAATGTATCAAGCTGGAATATACTCAAGATTAATGTGTTTTACACTCTTCGTGTATTTTCAATCTTTTTTTTTTTTTTATTTTTTTTTTTTCAACGTTTATTTATTTTGGGGACAGAGAGAGACAGAGCATGAACGGGGGAGGGGCAGAGAGAGAGGGAGACACAGAATCGGAAACAGGCTCCAGGCTCTGAGCCATCAGCCCAGAGCCCGACGCGGGGCTCGAACTCACGGACCGCGAGATCGTGACCTGGCTGAAGTCGGACGCTTAACCGACTGCGCCACCCAGGCGCCCCTGTGTATTTTCAATCTTGATAAAAATGATCAAAAATGTTGAGGCAGATTTGAGAAAAGAAACAAAAAGAACTTCTAGAAATAAAAAAAAATTCAATCACTGAAATAAAAAACTCAATGAAAGAGTTCAATAGGAGATTAAACACAGTTGAAGAGAAAAATGAATGGTCTGGATTTTAGCTTTCAGGAGACAGATCTGAGGAAATTAAACAGAATGAGAGACAGAGAAGTGCATAATATGAGGGAGAGGTTAAGAGACACAACAGAATGAGAAAACCTAATATTTCTAATTTGAATTCTAGAAGTAAATAATAGAATGGGAGAGAAGCAATTGAATCAAAGCTGATTTTATTGAATCAAAGCTGATTTTATTGAAAATAAAATAGCTGAGATTTTCCCCAAGTTGGAAGTCAAAATGAACCCCAAGCAGGACAAATAAAAGAAAACCAAGAGCCACACAAATCAGAGTCAAACTATAGAAGAATACTTTAAATTATTTGTCCTTTTTTCTAATTGATATGTGAAAGTATGTTAAATATTGTGGAAAATAATCCTTAGAACTTATGCATGTGGCAGTATATGGGTTTTTTTTTAATGTTTATTTATTTTTGAGACAGAGAGAGACAGAGCATGAACAGGGAAGGGTCAGAGAGAGAGGGAGGGAGACACAGAATCTGAAGCAGGCTACGGGCTCTGAGCTGTCAGCACAGAACCCAACGTGGGGCTTGAACTCACACACCATGAGATCATGACCCTGGCTGAAGTCGGACACTTAACCGACTGAGCCTGTGGTTTGTTTTATCAAATGCTTCATGGGGTCTTTTAATGAACCAGGGATGGGTTTTTTGTTTTTTTTTTTTAATGTTTATTTATTTTTTAGAGAGAGAGTGCACAAGCAGGGGAGAGGCAGAGAGAATCCCAAGCAGGCTCCCCACTGTCAGCATGGAGCTTAATGTGGGGCTTGAACTCACAAACCGTGAGATCATGACCTGAGCTGAAATCAAGAGTCAGACGCTTAACCGACTGAGCCACCCAGGCACCCTAAAAATAAAATCTTTTTTTTAATGTTTATTTATTTTTGAGAGAGACAGACAGAGAAGGACAGAGCATGAGCAGCGGAGGGGCAGAGAGAAAGGGAGACACAGAATCCAAAGCAGGGTCCAGGCTCTGAGCTGTCAGCACAGAGCCTGACGCAGGGCTCAAACTCATAAACTACGAGATCGTGACCTGAGCCCCAGTCGAACACTTAATCGACTGAGCACCCAGGCGCCCTGTAAAAATAAAATCTTAAAAAAAAAAAAAAATGCTGAGTGAAAATTGCTTCAAATTTGGAAATCTATTCACAAACTCTGAAGTAAGTGTGAGGGTAGAATCAAGACATTTTGGACACAGCAGAATTCAGAACACTGACCTCCCAAATGCCCTTTCTTAGACAACGACAGCAAAATCTTGTGGACATTGTTCCACAGCTTTGATTCTTCTCTTCTCCTCCAAGATGCGTTCAGTATTCAGCCTTACCTCAGACAGCCTGCTGCATTCAAGGGAAACCTGAATCCATTCCCATTATCCACAGGCGGGCTTGATTAGTATAAACATAACTCCTCTTCCCTTATTATGGCAATGGTTCAGAGACTCAGGCAAGTCAGTCAATCAACCAGAGCATTCCCAACAACCAAATAAACTAGTTCAGGAATGGATGTGTGAGATGCTCTGGCCAATGACATACAAGGAGATATACGCCAGGTGCTTTCTGGAAAAGAAGTTTCCAAAAACATAACCAGAAGAGATGCCCCCTCTTCCTCCAGACTAGTGGTGTGCCAATGGAAGTCTCAAGCTGCCTCAGACATTTCACCACCATAAGAGAAGGTGCCCTAAGGAAGACACCAAACCCAAGCGAAACCCAGCCAAGCTATTCATAGGGCCTGAGACACTAGATCAATCTCAGCCTGAAGCCAGCCCAATCTCTGGGCTCCCAGTTCACTGAGCCAAAAAATATTCTTAGAGGTTAAGCCTCCTCAGCAGTTTCTCTGTAATCTGCAGCTAAAAGCTGCCAGGAAATAGTGGATTCAATGCAGGGAGTACACACGGGAAGGCACAGAATGAGCACTCCACAAGGGTCCCAGAGGGCAATGAACTCAGAGTAAAGAGAGGTAAGAACCTCCCAATAGAAACTCTGCAGGATGCCTGATATAATGGAGCCTCTGGGGAGGCGGGAAGTGAAGCTATACAAAGTAAGCCAATACAAGGTGGGGGGAGGGAGGGGGGGGCTAAAAAAAAAAAAGAAAAAAATGCAGGAAAAGTAAAAGACTATAGGACAAAAAGGGGGTGTAATCACAGTATAATTCCTCGCTCTGCAGTGGATTTTTAAATAGTTAAGGAAACATAAACCTGGTCTACTGACTTAACCACAGTTTACGATTAAAGTACACTGAGAAAACAGGAGAGAAGAGAAAAAGGCGGTGGCAGAACCTGTTCCTCAACTGTCACAGCAAAAGTGTCAGTCAGTCTAAAAGTGCTACATCAAGAAACAGCACGGTATGCTTGTTACAGATACGGAGGTGTCTTCTAGAAGAAATTGCCAAAAAATACCAAGTGGCTGCCTCTGGGGAATGGGACCAGGAGTAGAAAGATGAGTGGTTTTTTACTCTTGCAAAAAGAGCTTGTCAGCACTGTCTGACTTAACACAGTGCATGTATTACACTTCCACAGTATAAAACATTGACATGTTTAGTATAAATTAATGAAAGATATTTGCTTACGGGCAAAGCCTCAAGGGATAGTAGTAGAATCAAGAGAGCAGATGTATTAGGTTGGTTAGATAATGGTTACTTTTTTCTTTTCGTAACTTTGTTTAGGTTAAATTACAACATTTATAGCTTACGCTGTATGTAAACTTGGGAGAAAAACTAAATTGCAGGGAAAAGACCAGCCCCACACCCCAGGCAGGCAGAAAGCATAGCACTAGCTCCATGCGCCCCACGCAGGCAGCCAGGAGACATCAGTGCCCTGCACAGGACGGAGGCCCCAAAGCTGGGTGAGGGGCCTCCTTTCCCCGTGGCCGCCAAAGGCCCTGGTTCTACACCTCCCTCCCCAGGGCCCAGGACATCTTCCCAGGGGCGTGGACCTCCCAAACAGGCCAGGCCTAGGAGGAAAGGCACTACAATTCAGCCTCCTCCACACTCCAGCCTGGGCCAGAGCTGGGCGGTCCATCAGCTTGGGACTTGGGTGCAAGGACATGGTGCAAGAGGGCCGGGGAAAAGGATACCTACCACAGGAGTCGCAGGTGAAGCAATCTGTGTGATACAGGCTCCCCATTGCCTGGCATGCCTGCCTTGCCCCGTAGATGCCAAGCCCACACTTGATGCAAATACCTATGGGAGAGACGCAGGAGAGAGCCCAGGTTAGCACCATGACTGTCCTAATGCTGCCTAACCCTCAGCGAATAAACTTCCTGAGCCTTCATTTACCAATGGCTGACCTGGCGACAATAATGGTATCTGGGGGTTTCTTGATGTTGTTTCAGGATTCAGAGGTAAGCAGAGCACCGGGCACAGAGTCAGGGCTAACTGATGCCGTCCTTGCCATCAAAATATTAATGATACGTGGGGGCACCTGGGTGGCTCAGTCAGTTGAGGGTCCAACTCTTGATTCTGGCTCAGGCCATGATCTCACAGTTCACGGGTTCAAGCCCCGCATCAGTCTCTACGCTCACAGTGCGGAGCCTGCTTGAGATTCTGTCTCCCTCTCTCTCTGCCCCTCCCCCCGCTTGCTCTCTATCTCTCTGAAAATAAATAAAAAGAAACTTAAAAAAATATTAATGACATGTTTATATTAGAAAGTCATTCTGGATCCCTTCACCAGTGACCTGCTCTTGGACTGAGGGAAAATCCTTTCTGCGGTCTGTGAACCAGAAAGAATAAAGACCACACAGGCATACCCACCCCAGCCAAGCTTTCCTCATCTGTGTCCTAAGGTGAATTGATTCTCTTGTTTGATCGGCACAGCGGCCTTGCTGGCCTGCCACATGCCCCACAGTGTAGCTGCTGGAGACTCGGCAACACGCCGAGGAAGGCACGCTCAAGGAGCCTCTGTTCCAGCGGAGGGAGACAGACGACAACAGGTAAATGAATAATATCTCTGGTGGAAACAAGTGTGTGAGGTTTTTGTTTTGTTTTGTTTTTTTTAATTTTTTTTTTCAACGTTTATTTATTTTTGGGACAGAGAGAGACAGAGCATGAACGGGGGAGGGGCAGAGAGAGAGGGAGACACAGAATCGGAAGCAGGCTCCAGGCTCTGAGCCATCAGCCCAGAGCCCGACGCGGGGCTCGAACTCCCGGACCGCGAGATCGTGACCTGGCTGAAGTCGGACGCTTAACCGACTGCGCCACCCAGGTGCCCCAAGTGTGTGAGTTTTAAATTAGGGTGGTGAAGAAGGCCCCAGTGACCAGGTGATATCTGAGCAAAGGTCTAGAGGAAAGAAAGGAGGAAGTTGCCATGCAGGCATCTGGGATTACTGGTAGAATTGGGGATCACCCCTAGCAGCACAGGGTGGGGTGCCCGGCAGGCAGGGGAGGGGTAGTAAGGAAAAGGGTGACCAGCAACGCCAGGGGGAAGCCCGGCACTAGTCCCGGGGATTCCCTGGCCAGCCCTCCTGAAGACCCAGAACATGGGCGGCCAGCCCAGACATCAGAAGCCCCCCTCACAGTTACCCGGGATCTCCTGTACCCCACAGGGCATGAAGACAGGCTCCACTGGCCCTTGAGACCCTAAATCTTCTGGATGCTCCGGGACATGCTCCCTCACCCTCTCCCTCTCGCTTTCTACCATCTCTCTCTCTCTCTCTCTCTCTCTCCTTAACATTTAACCACGGTTGAGCCTCTTCCCCATCAGCACCACGTCAAGAAAGAAAGTCAAGTCAAGAAAGAAAGCTCAGTCCACATTCAGCCATCTCCTAACTGTGCACACCTCCAGACCTCCCATCCCGAACCTGCTAGCCGTGGGACCAGCTCCTCCTCTTTCATGTCCAGGCTATGACCCACACCTAGATTTCTGGCTCTTCTCCCTTCCCAGCTCTGTTGGGTACTCCCTGCTCAGTCCTGGGCCTCCCATGCCTGGGTTTTTTTCCCCAGGGGAGGGAGGGCCAGCTCAGACGCCCTCAAAACCAGGTAGGAAAGTAAAGGTGGCTGGTGGGGACCCAGAATGGAGAATGGAGAACAGCAATTATTCCATACTGAAATTAATTACTAACTCAAATGTTTTGAAGATGCAGAAGGCCAACATGCCTGCAAGTCTCCACACGTGGCTGTCCCATGGCTCCCTGGGCAGTCCGGCCTGCTGCAATGGCTCAGCCTGCAGAGGGCTCCTGGCGATCTGCCCCAGTCCACACCTCTCTCCTGAGTCACTGAGCCAGCTCCCAGATGGCCTCAGACCACCGCAGGTCTAGAGCAGAGCTCTGGATTTCCTGCAAAACTGCTCTTGCCTCAGCGTCCCTGCTCAGGAAACGGCACCTGTGCGTAGCTCGGTTTCAGGGAGCATCCAGGTCCACCCTCCTTGTCTCCTCCAACTGTGAATCTCAGCAACTCTGTTCCCTAATTTTGACTTCATTCCCTCCCCTCACTCCCACTGGCCTGATTCAAAGTCATCAAGTCTCATCCTAAAGTCCGTTTCAAGAGTGTCCTCAAGGTATCCCCGCCTGGCCCCCAATAATTCATCCCACAATCTGCAGCTAGACTTCCCTTTGGCAAGTAAAAATGACCTACCCCCTCACCCTTACTCTTGTCCATCAAGTCTGAAAACCTGACCTCACCTTCTTAAGTTACCACAATCCACAGTGAAGAGTAAAAGTCAGTTTTCCACGGGAAGCAGGACAGGAGGTGGGGCAAGAGGAGAGGCTATGACCTTGTATGATGATTAGCTTTTGGTTCCATTTGCTTTTTTTTCTAAATACGTGCTTTCGTCTCTTTAATAAAAAGACACTGACGAAGGAGATGGAGTACCCACGAAATTCAGGGAGCACAGCGTTTCAAAGAGAGGGGACTCCACCTGTGGGATGGAACAGTGAGACCAGGCCACCGAGGCCTGGCAAGCACCTGCACCGGGCCGCCACCAGGGTCTAGCAAGAGCTGGCTCAGTCCCGTGAGGGGAGACAGATGGCTCAGGGGAGATGGGAGGCGGGCGAGCAAAGGCGATGCCAACCAGACACTGGGATGGGAAGAGGTGGGCATGCCACTGAGACTTTGTGACCAAGCAGGTGTGGCTTTGCTTTTTCCTTGCCATTTTTTTTTTTTTATGAAAGACCCTTTCATTAAAGACATATTTAT